GTTGAGAGGTTGATGGAGGTGATGTTGAGAGGATGATGAAGGTGATGTTGCGAGGCTGATGGAGGTGATGTTGAGAGATGTTGATGGAGTTGATGGAGGTGATGTTGAGAGGCTGATGGAGGTGATATTGAGAGGTTGATGGAGGTGATGTTGAGAGGATGATGAAGGTGATGTTGCGAGGCTGATGGAGGTGATGTTGAGAGGTTGATGGAGGTGATGTTGAGAGGCTGATGGAGGTGATCTTGAGAGGTTGATGGAGGTGATGTTGAGAGGATGATGAAGGTGATATTGAGAATGAGTGCTTTTAGCAATATTCCAGCAATATCACGGCGGGGGTCACCAGAAATTGCCTTCACACATTGTACCCATGTGGGGAATCGAGCCCGGTTCTTCAGCGTGACGAGCGAACGCTTTAACGACTAGACTACTCCACCGCCCCGTGCATTTGAGAGGGGGTGAGGTGAAATTGGGTTTAACGTCGTGCTTGAGAATATTTCGCTCATATGACGACGTGCATGCGTGTGTATGTGTATGTGCGGCTGCTTGTACTAGCCCAGACTGAAGCTGGTTTTTTATAGTGCTAGCCCACTGAGATACCATGCCGCAGTGAAGCATGAATACCCCACTCAGACACATTATACTGACTCCGAGCCGACCAGTCCTTGTTGTACCCATTAATGCCGAGCGCCAGGCAGGGACCCACAAGTACCATATTTTAACGTCTTTTGGTATGACGCGGTCGGGGAACGAACCCGCTACCTTCCGCTCTCCGGGCGGACGCTCTAACCACTACACCATGGAGGCTGTCCTTTTGAGAGGATGACGAAAGTGAAGGTTAATCGTTTCATTGTTGCATAAAAAAACTGTCCACGGACGGCGGTCCAGCGTTTTGGACAATTTCCCTTGTGTTGCCAGTTACACAGTGAACCAAACCAATTACGGCTTAGTAAGGGCTTAACGCAGACAGCACTTCCAAAATTCAATATTATTCGAACAATTCTTTGACATAACTGGAATGAACGGCATGCATACACGTGGTTACTTGTGACTGGAATACGTGTACTCTTGTAGATTTGTATATCCACGTGGTCTCATATTGGTAGAATTGTGCAGATCCTGCAGATTGGTATACATGTGTATCAACGTGGTGTCTCTCCTGTAGAATTGTGAGTATCCTGCAGATTGGTATACATGTGTATCAACGTGGTGTCTCTCCTGTAGAATTGTGAGGATCCTGCAGATTGGTATACATGTGTATCAACGTGGTGTCTCTCCTGTAGAAGTGTGCAGATCCTGCAGATTGGTATACATGTGTATCAACGTGGTGTCTCTCCTGTAGAATTGTGAGGATCCTGCAGATTGGTATACATGTGTATCAACGTGGTGCCTCTCCTGTAGAATTGTGTGGATCCTGCAGATTGGTATACATGTGTATCAACGTGGTGTCTCTCCTGTAGAATTGTGCAGATCCTGCAGATTGGTATACATGTGTATCAACGTGGTGTCTCTCCTGTAAAATTGTGCAGATCCTGCAGATTGGTATACATGTGTATCAACGTGGTGTCTCTCCTGTAGAATTGTACAGATCCTGCAGATTGGTATACATGTGTATCAACGTGGTGTCTCTACTGTAGAAGTGTGCAGATCCTGCAGATTGGTATACATGTGTATCAACGTGGTGTCTCTCCTGTAGAATTGTGCAGATCCTGCAGATTGGTATACATGTGTATCAACGTGGTGTCTCTCCTGTAGAATTGTGCAGATCCTGCAGATTGGTGTACATGGGTATCAACGTGGTGCCTCTCCTGTAGAATTGTGCAGATCCTGCAGATTGGTATACATGTATCAACGTGGTGTCTCTCCTGTAGAATTGTGAGGATCCTGCAGATTGGTATACATGTGTATCAACGTGGTGTCTCTCCTGTAGAATTGTGAGGATCCTGCAGATTGGTATACATGTGTATCAACGTGTTGTCTCTCCTGTAGAATTGTGCAGATCCTGCAGATTGGTATACATGTGTATCAACGTGGTGTCTCTCCTGTAGTATTGTGCATATCCTGCAGATTGGTATACATGTGTATCAACGTGGTGTCTCTCCTGTAGAAGTGTGCAGATCCTGTAGATTGGTATACATGTGTATCAACGTGGTGTCTCTCCTGTAGAATTGTGCAGATCCTGCAGATTGGTATACATGGGTATCAACGTGGTGTCTCTCCTGTAGAAGTGTGCAGATCCTGTAGAACTGTACATGACGTCATGTTCCGCTGCACATGTATGAGGCCATGTATCTAGTACAACTTGCCAGAAATATTCTGTAGTTAAAGGCTTGAAGACGTCTGGGAAAAGCTAGGAATGATGTGTTGTTGTCCAAGATCGATAGGTTCCAGCTAGCTTTCTCTCCAGTCTCAACACAAGTTTGTCAGATTACTTTGTGTTTCAAGTCCACTTTTTACCTCTCTGCCTCGTCCTCATTGATTTGTATCGCTAAATGTAGAATTCGTAAAACTTATTCACTGATGATTTGTTTTCTTTCCACTTTGTTCTTAGACAGGTGTTTGCAAATTGACATCGAATTTATTTCTTATACAATGATCAGTTTATATCTAGTATTAGTCCGCTGTCGACAATGTCTCATTCATCAGAGAGGATGGAATTAAGTCCGGAATAGAACATTATGCTTGCACTTCGGGCCATGCTACACATTGGACATGCCACGGCTTGGTTCTCATTAGTTCATGTCAAACTAGCAGGAACGTTATCGTCAACCCGTTCTTAAGAAATTAAATGGCAAAAGCATTTGAAGCGGGTGTAATGTATGTATTTCTGAGACTCGTTCGAGAACCTTGTTTCCAAAACAAAACTGCTCAGTAAAACCTATTCGTAACATTTGGCTCGTATACCACTCTACTGAAAATATTTTCCTGCACACCTGTAGGTTAGAAACCATATAGGATAACTGGTATCAAATGTATGTATGAGGTAGAATTCTACGTGCGTGATTGGCTACTCTATAGTGATGACCAATGGTTAGATAATGCCGGACAGCTTTCTTGATTGCAATTTATAGATTAGTTTTTCGTGCTGCGGGCGAACTCAGTTACATCTGTGTCTCCAAACGTATGTTTTACAGTGTTAATAATTGTTCTTACTTCTTAGCTATTATTTTCATCCACATTTTCGCCTTATTAATCCACAGATATGGTGGTGGTGTGTGTGTGTGTGTGTGTGTGTGTGTGTGTGTGTGTGTGTGTGTGTGTGTGTGTGTGTGTGTGTGTGTGTGTGTGTGTGTGTGTGTGTGTGTGTGTGTGTGTGTGTGTGTGTGTGTGTGTGTAACGGTAGGTTTGAGTATATTGCTCGCTTTCGTTTGGTAGATACGTTTTTGAAACATCCCGTTGTAAGATATATGGTATCTGACAGACATTTATGAAGAAATCCCTATATACATACACCAACATCAAATATTTCCAGGACGCATCGCTTACCCTTACTAAGGGTCTAGAAGTGACAACATGCTAGCCAATGAGATGTCCTAGTTATAAGCACAAACGGATATCTGTATACTGGGCCTAGGGCGCCGTGTGCTATTGCACCGAGGTTTGGCTCGCCTTCCCCGGTAGCGATGGGTATAGTCAGTACAGTAGGTACACACATGTATCGATTAAAACCCGTCTACCATAATTAGTTACTGTCCAAATATAGCGAGCGATACTCTGATCTTCATCAATAGCTGGTCATAGTTTGAATATGTCCACAAAAGCCGGTCACAGTCTGAATGTCATCAATAGAAGGTCATAGTCCGAATGTCCTCAATAGAAGGTCATAGTCAGAATGGCTCCAATAGAAGTTCATAGTCAGTATATGTCAACAAAAGCGGGTCACAGTCTGAATCATCATCATCATCATCATCATCATCATCATCATTATCATCATCATAACACGTTTATAATGCGCTGGTATCCATGCTCAAAGCGCAGATAGAATGTAACAAATTACACAGTTATAGTTGAAAAGGCTGTCCTGAACAAATGTGTTTTTAACTGGGATTTGAAAGTGACAAAGTCAGTACAGTCCCTGAGATTCTGTGGAAGTTTGTTCCAGGCCACTGGTGCTGCATAGGCAAAGGATCTGTTTCCATACAGCACTGTTCTAGTTTTAGGGACAAGGAGAAGACTTTTATCTTGTGAACGGAGCGAACGAGACGGCTGGTACAGAGAAAGAAGACTAGATAAATATGTAGGGGCAGTTCTAGACAGACAGCGGAAGACAAGGCAGAGAAGTTTAAACTCAATTCTGAAATCCACGGGAAGCCAGTGTAGAAAGTATAGAAGAGGAGTGATATGATCATTCTTCCTGGATCTTGTCACAATGCGGGCTGCTACATTCTGGACTCTTTGTAGCTTTCGTATCTGAGACTTGGTTGCACCGACCAACAGACAGTTGCAATAGTCAAGTCTGCTCATGACAAGGGATAGAACAAGAGTTGTTGCTGTTTCATATGTGAATGTCATCAATAGAAGGTCATAGTCGGAATATCATCAATAGAAGGTATTGAAGGTCATAGTCGGAATATGATCAACGAAAGGTCATAGTCGGAATATCATCAACGAAAGTTCATAGTCTGAATGTCAACAATACAAGATCATAGTCTGAATATCAACAATAGCGGGTCACAGTCAGTCTAGGGGAAATGTGTGGGGAGGGGGAAGGGGGAATTGGGTGTGTCTGTGTGTGTTGTGTGTGTGTGTGTTTGTACCCTGATGCATATGCTATCTACTTACAGCTGCCGTCTACACGGGTGGTAGTTTGTACTTGACATATGTATTGTCTACTTACAGCTGCCGTCTACACGGGAGGTAGTTTGTACTTGACATATGTGCTGTCTCGTTACAGCTGCAGTCTACACGGGTGGTAGTTTGTACTTGACATATGTGCTGTCTACTTACAGCTGCAGTATACACGGGTGGTTGTATGTACTTGTCATATGTGCTTCTACTTACAGCTGCAGTCTATACGGGTGGGTGTGTTACCGGGCAGTGCAGTGGAACAATTCCTCAAGAAGATCCAAAACAAGCTATATGAGGTCTCCAGTAACTACCCCGTGTCTAAGACTGACCGGGGGATTGAGGAGGTGCTGTAAGTACATATACTGTTGGACGTCTACTGGTAGGACTGTTAAAGATCAGTAATACATGTTCCATATTTCAATATTGTATATATCTTGAAATGTATAAATTGATGTATATTACCCTATGAGTTTATTGTAGCGCCATGAGCACGCACAAGTGCGTGGATATAGGCGCATAATAAATGTCCATTATCATTATTATTTGGTACCGCTCTAACAGAACGGAAAGTTTTTCCCGTAGTCTTCTAGAATACTTCCCCAGAATTTTCTTCAGTTATTTCATTTATCCACATGGTCTGTTCAGACATGACTGGTTAACGAGTACCATGATTTAGTATGCAAAAGTCATTAGTGAGTGAGTTGAGTTGAGTTCTACACCGCTTTTAGCATAATTCCAGCAATATAACGGCGGGGGACACCACAAATAGGCTTCACACATTGTAGTCATGTGGGAATCGAACCCGGGACTTCGGCGTGACGAGTGAACGCTTTAACCACTAGGCTATCTCACCGCCGCAAAAGTCATGATGTTTGAACATGGGTAAAATATGGATATTATGTAATATGTTTCGATTTTAGAACAGAATTAAATATAGTTTTTGTTTTCAGTGAGGAGAAACTGGATGCCTATTTAGGGGACTACCCAATACTTGACTATGCAAGGGCTCATCTGGCCCCTAACTGTGAGTTGAAGCTCCTATCGCAAATCTTCGGAGATGACCGATATGGAATAGGGCTTCCCAAGGGTTCTCCGCTGAAGGTAGGTTTAACTGAGTTCAAATCTCCAATACTGTATACGATTTTCATATTTATAAATTTGTATACCTTTCACATAAACAATTCTGATCACTGTTAAAGCTGTATTACAAACAGAACTGACATCAGGGAAACTAAAAAATCTTAATTTGTATAAAACTAATAACTCGAGCAGAGCCTTAGGAGCCATTGTAACCATTGGGTAACATTTTTATTGAACCAGAACAGAATTTGTTATCTTGGCGAATCCGTCTAAGCGGATCATCGCATTACTAAGGGACGCAACTCCATAATATGATTCTTCCCGTTATTTGAGTCACTATAGTATGTTTATAACAGATGCATGAAGCGATAAGTGGGGATCCTGTGGACATAATGGCTGATGTAATTTCTGACATGTGTTGGGAACACAACGAGTGGTCAGGAAGGAATCCCTACAAGCCAGACGAAAGGGATATTGGTGTTATTCAATAACAAGCTGTCTACACAAAAACGTTGTACTGTGTCACCACATCTAAGTTACCTTGTAATTCTCACTAGGTGGCGCTGTCAAGGAAAATTATGGAGTACCATCAGAGTGGCTACATCGACGACCTCATCGACGTTCACTTCGCCGACGCTCAGTGTTTCAAACAGCGAATAACGCAGGAGGAATCTCGTCTGGAGGTGCAACATCACGCGGGACTTTTCGTGATGATGAGCGTTGGGATTATCATCGGGATTATTGTGTGTTTTGTGGAGCATGGTGTGTACAAATGGCTAGTACCTCGTTTTCGAGCATCACCAGGCGACAGTCAATGGAAGAGTTCGCATATGTTGTTCTTTAGTCAGGTAAGAACTGATGACGTCATCTGTGAATGTAAATTGAATCGACCCTTGAAAAGGTGGCGGTTGTACATTGTATGTAATGAGATTTACACATCATTAGACTGCCAAGTTACTCTAAAGTTACAGACTGAGTAAATATAATCACAATCGCATCTCCCTATCTCCGTGGGCGGTGGGCAGCCTATCGGTTGCAGCGTTCGCTCGGTACGCCGATGTCCCAGTTTGATTTCCACGTAAGTACAACGTGTAAAACCCATTTCTGGTGTCTCCTGACATTACCAGAATATTGCTACAAACGGCGTAGAAAGCAACTCACTCACCCTTCGTGCTTCCTGATGTTTGCAGTTTACATGAGACGCTGAAGAAAATGTTACTACGTTTTTTACCCTCGTGTTGGCAAACAATTGCATGAGGCTTGGCACCGACGTTAAGGGGTTCGAGGCTACAGTAATATGAGAAGCGACATGGGGTTTGAGGCTACATGGACATGAGGGACAGCATTTACTAGGTCAAAGGATACAGGACCAAATCATATAGGAGATGAAATTTGTTCTCAGATACGTACCAAACATGCGAGAATCATGTGGTTCCATGGTTTGCTGATGATATGCCTTTACGATAAATGAGAGTATACACGTGCGAGAGTATAGGATTCCAAGAATGGGGAATGCTGCAGTAAATGAGGGTATACACGTGCGAGAGTATAGGATTCCAAGAATGGGAAATGCTGCAGTTAATGAGGGTATACACGTGCGAGAGTATATGACTTCAAGAATGGGGAATGTTGCAGTTAATGAGGGTATACACGTGCGAGAGTATAGGACTTCAAGAATGGGGAATGCTGCAGTTAAAGAGGGCATACAAGTGTGAGAGTATAGGATTCCAAGAATGGGGAATGCTGCAGTTAATGAGGGTATACACGTGCGAGAGTATAGGACTTCAAGAATGGGGAATGCTGCAGTTAATGAGGGTATACACGCGCGAGAGTATAGGATTCCAAGAATGGGGAATGCTGCAGTTAATGAGGGTATAGAATGGGGAATGCTGAGAGTATAGGACTTCAAGAATGGGGAATGCTGCAGTTAATGAGGGCATACACGTGCGAGAGTATATGACTTCAAGAATGGGTAATGCTGTAGTTAATGAGGGCATACACGTGCAAGAGTATATGACTTCAAGAATGGGGAATGCTGCAGTTAATGAGGGCATACACGTGCAAGAGTATATGACTTCAAGAATGGGGAATGCTGCAGTTAATGAGGGTATACACGTGCAAGAGTATAGGACTTCAAGAATGGGTAATGCTGTAGTTAATGAGGGCATACACGTGCGAGAGTATAGGACTTAAAGAATGGGTAATGCTGTAGTTAATGAGGGTATACACGTGCGAGAGTATATGACTTCAAGAATGGGTAATGCTGTAGTTAATGAGGGCATACACGTGCGAGAGTATAGGACTTCAAGAATGGGGAATGCTGCAGTTAATGAGGGTATACACGTGCGAGAGTATATGACTTCAAGAATGGGTAATGCTGTAGTTAATGAGGGCATACACGTGCGAGAGTATAGGACTTTAAGAATAGGTAATGCTGCAGTTAATGAGGGTATGCACGTGCGAGAGTATATGACTTCAAGAATGGGTAATGCTGTAGTTAATGAGGGCATACACGTGCGAGAGTATATGACTTCAAGAATGGGGAATGCTGCAGTTAATGAGGGCATACACGTGCGAGAGTATATGACTTCAAGAATGGGTAATGCTGTAGTTAATGAGGGCATACACGTGCAAGAGTATATGACTTCAAGAATGGGGAATGCTGCAGTTAATGAGGGCATACACGTGCAAGAGTATATGACTTCAAGAATGGGGAATGCTGCAGTTAATGAGGGTATACATGTGCAAGAGTATAGGACTTCAAGAATGGGTAATGCTGTAGTTAATGAGGGCATACACGTGCGAGAGTATAGGACTTCAAGAGTGGAGAATGCTGCAGTTAAAGAGGGCATACACGTGCAAGAGTATATGACCTCAAGAATGGGTAATGCTGTAGTTAATGAGGGCATACACGTGCGAGAGTATAGGACTTCAAGAATGGGTAATGCTGTAGTTAATGAGGGCATACACGTGCGAGAGTATAGGACTTCAAGAGTGGAGAATGCTGCAGTTAATGAGGGCATACACGTGCAAGAGTATAGGACTTCAAGAGTGGAGAATGCTGCAGTTAAAGAGGGCATACACGTGCAAGAGTATAGGACTTCAAGAGTGGAGAATGCTGTAGTTAATGAGGGCATACACGTGCAAGAGTATATGACTTCAAGAATGGGGAATGCTGCAGTTAATGAGGGCATACACGTGCAAGAGTATAGGACTTCAAGAGTGGAGAATGCTGCAGTTAATGAGGGCATACACGTGCAAGAGTATAGGACTTCAAGAGTGGAGAATGCTGCAGTTAATGAGGGCATACACGTGCAAGAGTATATGACTTCAAGAATGGGGAATGCTGCAGTTAATGAGGGTATACACGTGCAAGAGTATAGGACTTCAAGAATGGAGAATGCTGTAGTTAAGAGAGGGCATACACGTGCGAGAGTATAGGACTTCAAGAGTGGAGAATGCTGTGCAGTTAATGAGGGCATACACGTGCAAGAGTATAGGACTTCAAGAATGGGGAATGCTGTAGTTAATGAGGGCATACACGTGCGAGAGTATAGGACTTCAAGAATGGGTAATGCTGTAGTTAATGAGGGCATACACGTGCGAGAGTATAGGACTTCAAGAGTGGAGAATGCTGCAGTTAATGAGGGCATACACGTGCAAGAGTATAGGACTTCAAGAGTGGAGAATGCTGCAGTTAATGAGGGCATACACGTGCAAGAGTATAGGACTTCAAGAGTGGAGAATGCTGTAGTTAAAGAGGGCATACACGTGCAAGAGTATAGGACTTCAAGAATGGGTAATGCTGTAGTTAATGAGGGCATACACGTGCAAGAGTATATGACTTCAAGAATGGGGAATGCTGTAGTTAATGAGGGCATACACGTGCAAGAGTATAGGACTTCAAGAATGGGGAATGCTGCAGTTAATGAGTACTAGAACACGACAACATCTCATTCGTGTTGCAGTGCATTACATGTTATTGCTTTGTTTCACCACGACGTGAGCCCCTTTCACTACTCGATATCACATGTCCTGCTGACCCTTAACAGTGTGATTTACCCTGCAGTCAGTGTCAGTGTGACATTCTTGGGCACCCAGAAACCGGTAGTATACACTTTCGGTAAGATAGTCTGTGTTGGCCCCATGGCCAGTGATGCTTGTTTTTAAGAAACCAAACGCCTGCATCCTCATTTACTTCCGATTCCAACGTCAAGGAATCCACACACGGAGTGGCACCTGTAGGGGGGCAGATACCTACAGACAGAGGAGAACCTATGGAGGGGGTCAGATACAGGGGAACTTATATAGGGGAAAAGTCATCAGATAGAGGGGAACCTATAGAGGATAGCTAGACAGAGGGGAAAGTATAGAGGGGAAAAGTCATCAGACAGAGGGGAACCTATAGAGGATATCTAGACAGAGGGGAATCTATAGAGGGGAAAAGTCATCAGATAGAGGGGAACCTATAGAGGATAGCTAGACAGAAGGGAAACTATAGAGGGGAAAGTCATCAGATAGAGGGGAACCTATAGAAGATATCTAGACAGAGGGGAATCTATAGAGGAGAAAAGTCATCAGATAGAGGGGAACTATAGAGGATAGCTAGACAGAGGGGAAACTATAGAGGGGAAAAGTCATCAGATAGAGGGGAACCTATAGAAGATATCTAGACAGAGGGAATCTATAGAGGAGAAAAGTCATCAGATAGAGGGGAACTATAGAGGATAGCTAGACAGAGGGGAAACTATAGAGGGAAAAGTCATCAGATAGAGGGGAACTATAGGAGGATAGCTAGACAGAGGGGAAACTATAGAGGGGAAAGTCATCAGATAGAGGGGAACTATAGAGGATAGCTAGACAGAGGGGAATCTATAGAGGGGGAAAAGTCAGATATAGAGGGGAACCTATAGAGGATAGCTAGACAGAAGGGAAACTATAGAGGGGAAAAGTCATCAGATAGAGGGGAACCTATAGAGGATAGCTAGACAGAGGGGAATCTATAGAGGGAAAAGTCATCAGATAGAGGGGAACCTATAGAGGATAGCTAGACAGAGGGGAAACTATAGAGGGGAAAGTAATCAGATAGAGGGGAACCTATAGAGGATATCTAGACAGAGGGGAATCTATAGAGGGGAAAAGTCATCAGATAGAGGGGAACCTATAGAGGATAGCTAGACAGGGGAAACTATAGAGGGGAAAAGTCATCAGATAGAGGGGAACCTATAGAGGATAGCTAGACAGAGGGAAACTATAGAGGGAAAGTCATCAGATAGAGGGGAACCTATAGAAGATATCTAGACAGAGGGGAATCTATAGAGGAGAAAAGTCATCAGATAGAGGGGAACTATAGAGGATAGCTAGACAGAGGGGAAACTATAGAGGGGAAAAGTCATCAGATAGAGGGGAACCTATAGAGGATAGCTAGACAGAGGGGAAACTATAGAGGGGAAAGTCATCAGATAGAGGGGAACTATAGAGGATAGCTAGACAGAGGGGAATCTATATCGGGGAAAAGTCATCAGGGAGATGGGAACTTATAGAGGATATCTAGAGAGAGGGGAATCTATAGAGGGGAAAAGTCATCAGATAGAGGGGAACTATAGAGGGGTAGCTAGACAAATGGGGACCTATAGAGGGGAAAAGTCATCAGATAGAGGGGAATCTATAGAGGAATAGCTAGACTGAGGGGAAACTATAGAGGTTAAAAGTCATCAGATAGATGGGAACCTATAGAGGATATCTAGACAGAGGGGAAACTATAGAGGGGAAAAGTAATCAGATAGAGGGGAACCTATAGAGGATATCTAGACAGAAGGGAAACTATAGAGGGGAAAGTCATCAGATA